ATAGATGCAATATCAAATTTTTTGTTTTTTTCAAAAAAATTTGAAAAGTTAAACGTGAATCGACTTTTTCACAAGAGTTGCATAAATCATAATGCACAATTTGCCATTTATATATACTTTTTAAGGCAATAATCCTGTGAATCATCTTTAAATTAAATTGTTTAACTTTATTTTTAAGGTTTCGCTTTATTTTAAATGAGAATACATCCTTCCAAATAAATACGTTATCTAAATATAGAAAGGAATTTAACAAAAAAAGAAGATTGGTTCTCCTCACTTCTTCCGTATTAACAAACGGTAGTAATCTTTCACTTTCATAACAAAAACATTTACTTTATCCCCTGTTTCTATTTCTATAATATTGGAAATATCATATTCATCTTCAAAATCAATGACATCACTTAATCTATCTTACCAACACTGCGGAAATGCTGTCTTTAATTATGAAAAATCATGTTTAGTGCATATCGAATTCATACATTTTATATTACAATTGAACTGTAAACAAAGTAAATCCCCTATTTTATCTGACTCGTATATATACATGTCTGTCCCATTATAGCCATCATCATTAAAGAATCGAAATGTCCATGCCAACCGAAATGAAGATATTTTACTAGCAATATGAATAATATTCAATCCACCATTTTCAATATCATGTATAATTATATTAAGTTTCATTTTATCTTTTTGGGAATTCCATGAGAAACAAAACAATAATCTATTCAATATCTGAAAAACACGTTTTGGTACTGTTACAACAGTTTCCGTATGCAAAATTTATGACGTAGCTAACATTTTCAAATCAATTATTTTACTATGAAAGGTATTTTCCACATATTTAATACATTTCGAATTGTTTACATTTTTACATTCCAGTTTAAATCTTGTAACAATTTCTTATTTTCGCCTAAACATACTCCGAAATATTTAACAGGTTGAAACGTATATATTATGTAATTATTGAAGAAAAAAATCCACAATATTCAGTTTCATAACTTCTGTCAAATTCCAATTTTTCTTCTGGACCTGCATAGGTTATATAAAGTAGACCATTATCAGAATTCACACATAGTGTCGTGTTGGGAATTGGGAAATGTTAAAATAGCGAAACCTAAATTAGCATTGAGTATATTAATCCCTTCAAATGTTTTATTTTGTCGTATTTTACTTGCTAGTATTTCCAATACTAAGTAATGTCGATAATGGGTTACCCTGGCAAACTACTCTTTCAATAATAAACTTTTTTTATCCATCAATTATTGATCACACGACCAATAGCGTCAGTCTAAAAAATCTTTATCAAGGTGATAAAAGATTCTTTAAATTGAATTTACCGTTACATGAATTAGGACAAATGGGATAAATTGTCGATTCATTTTGTTTTATCCAAAAGAATATAGTCCCTGAACTATTGGATGTCTTTAAATAATCAATCACATCTTTTTCTGCTGCGGATCTTTTCCTTTTGAAACCTCATTGATCAGTTGAAATAATACTTGATAAAACACGTTGAAGTCTTTTAGACACTGCTCTTGCCGCAATTGTATAATAACCAAATATGTCTCATATTGTCTAGATATCTCCTATCCCTCTTCTTAAATAACAATGTATTATGCCCTGCCTTTGGGAAGAAGATACATTTTGTTTTTGATACCCCGTATTTAAACTTGCAATAACCAACTCTTTAATTTCTAACCAAAATACATTGTAAAACTCCGCACTAAGACCATCACTTCAAATTCCTTTTCACTTATAACCCTTCACATTTCAATGCCTCTTCATCGGTCAGAGTACTTACAATTAAACAATTGAAATATTTATCAACATGAACATTCGTGAATTTCATTTCATACTCTTTTCAAAATACCTTTGAATTTCCTGTAAAACCTCTTCACCATCCTTTATAATTTTCTATTCATATATAAGCTTTCTATTTCGTTTTTCTGCCCATTACGTTTTTCAACTGTAAACAATATTTGCTTGCTTTTCACCCTTTTCAATCCACTTTGACCTCGATTTTACAAACGCCCCTCTTAATTTATGTGTATAATATTTATCTATTTTCTTCTGTGCTTCACACTTCTTACTAATAATATTTTTTTTAATTCTTATCTAGCTGTTCACTCAAGGTATCATATTTCTTTTTAAGTTTATTAAAATCATTTTTGTTAACATTATATTTTTGGTTACAGTATATATATAACATCGTAATATCTTTTATCTTTACTTTACATACATAACTATCTCGATCTATTAAGGAGACACGAACGAACGAACTTTACATATCTCCTATTTTTCCTGTGGTGACAATTGTATGTATTTTAACTTAACTTGTTTAATCAAATTACTTACACTAGTATGATACTCTGCATCCATTTAGATATTATTGTTTATCTTTGCCCCTTTCTAAAATTTCAAATTTAAATTTTAAAGAAAGAGCATTATTGTCGCACTTTAAAGCCAGACGGATGTCCGTAGATTGAAGTAAATGGCATATCTTCTTTGACATTAACCAATAATCCAACCTAGAAAATAGAGAGAGAAAGGGAGATCTGCTTCCATATGAATTGACTCTTGTCTAAATATAAATGTTTCCAAATATCTACCAAGTTGCACTGTTTTTAAATTACCTAAAATAATACTTCGGAAGATTACCTGAAGATATACCATGTGTATCAATTTCCTTTTTTGAAAACAATTCCCCTCCTACAATCAAAATATTATTTTATAAAAAGCTTCTTTTCCCGATTCTTTTTTGGCAGGAGCATAAACATTCAAAAGAAAATATCACAATTCATGAAAGCTCAAACTAGTAGCCATAGTTCTGCCGTCACTTTTAATAAAAGTACGTATTACATAAATTTTCGGGTCTCTGTTAATTAAAATTGAGACACCTTTCAAATGATTGGTTCCATTATTGCACAAACCTGTACCCATCAATTTGTTGCAAATTATGCTTTCTAGATCGTGACACCAAAACGTTTCTTGCAAACAAATAATATCGCATTGTTTATGTTTAAGGCTAAATATATTTTTTTTCTCATTTTAACTCTTCACGAAGACCCTAGCGTTTAAAGATATGAAATGCAAAAAAGGATTCATACTAATGAATTAAATATATAAATTATACGTGCTAATGATGGTGGTGTTTGTGGCGGAAATGGAATAATGGTGGTGATGGTGGTAAAGGTGGTGGTGGTGGTGGTGGTGGTGGTGGTGGTTGTGGGAATGGTGGATGAGGTAGTGGTAATGGTGGTGGTGTTGGTGTCGCTGATGGAGTTGTTTTGTTGGTGATGGTGGTGGTTGTGATGATGATATTGGTGGTGATAGTGATAATTGTCATAACAAGGATCATAATGATGATGATGATGGTGATGATGATAATGATGATGATTAGGGTGATGATGATGGTGATGGTGATGATGATGATGATGATGATGGTGATGGTGATGGTGATGATAATGGTGATGGTGATGATGATGGTGATGGTGATGGTGATGATGATGATGATGGTGGTGATGATGGTGATGATGATGGTGATGATGATGATGATGATGATGATCATGGTTAAGGTGGTGATGATGATGGTGATGATGGTGATGGTGATGATGATGGTGATGGTGATGATGATGGTGGTGATGATGGTGATGATGATGGTGATGATGATGATGATGATGGTGATGGTGATGGTGATGATGATGGTGATGGTGATAGTGATGATGATGATGATGGTGGTGATGATGGTGATGATGATGGTGATGCTGATGATGATGATGATGATCATGGTTAAGGTGGTGATGACAGTGATACTAGTGATGGCGATGGTGATGATGATGATTAGGGTGATGATAATGGTGATGGTGATGATGATGATGATGATGATGGTGATGATGATGGTGATGGTGTTGGTGATGATGATGATGATAATGATGGTGATGGTGATGATGATCATGGTTAAGGTGGTGATGACAGTGATACTAGTGATGGTGATGGTAATGATGATGGTGATGGTGATGATGATGATGATGATGGTGATGATGATGGTGATGATGATGATGATGGTGATGATAATAGTGATGATGATGGTGATGATGATGGTGATGATGATGATGATGATGGTGATGGTAGTGATGATGATGATGATGATGACGCTTATTGTGTTCTTACCCGACCTTACTAATATAAATTCAAATTAATGCTCGGTCATAAACAACCAGAAGATATACGGCTTTCTATCGTATCTGAGGGACTTTGATCACTGAGAAAACAATGCCTTACTAAACGCCTGCCAGTTTCAATACCATGATTATCATCATATCGCTCAATAAACTTACCTAATTTGGTAAAAGCTTGATCATTAAATGGAATTCATTAACCCTAGATTATCTAAATTTTAGTCAATGGTGAAATTATGATAGTCTACCAAGAATTTAAAGGCAGATGATAAAGACGGTGCTTATAATATTTCTTACCCAAAGAAGCCTAATCAGCTTCAATGCTGTTCTTTGTTAAGGCCCTGTAATTACCCTTATCCCAGCGATTTCCAGGTACTCAATTATTACACCTGGTTGGACAGTAGGAAAAGAGAAGTTGATTAATGTCTTGACGAACGACGTTAGTAGCTTGAAAATAACGAAACTAAATGTTTTATTATTATTGTATTTTTTTTCTATAGGTCCTTGTGTTGCTTCTGACTGCGAGTGTTGTATACCCAACCCATGGCGGTAAGTTATTTTAAGTGTGATCAGGCTGTTATCGTTGCTAGATGAGCCGAATGGTATTGTTAACAAAAACCAATCAATTTCATGACACCGAAATGAAAACACATTCCCTTCCGTCGACGGTTCTTTTCCTACGTCTTCCTCTGTTATCACAATATATGTTGGGATCCCGCGGAGCGTTATGAAGACAGAACATTTAATTTAGAGTTCAACAGGTATCAATAGGAGAGCGCACTATTCAAATAGGTGGGCACCTACCAAATTGATTATTTTCTCTGATACAAAACGACTGCAAGCAAATCAAGCCACCAGCTCACGCTGTATCCCTTCTATATATAATTTCTGTTTAGTATGTCAGTTTCAATTCATATGTTCAAATTATGTACTGTCAAAAAAAGATTGTAGCATTTTATATTCATGTACATTTGAATTTGAAGAACAAAGTATGTATAGAAACAAACAAATCAAATTCAAGATTGTTATGCCATCATTTATTCATCGAAAACATGTTCTTCTGAAATCCTCTTTGATCATCTTCGTTGTTGATTTTTACCTGGATATAAAATAAATGTTTTCATTGAGGTCTCTGCGAGCGAGTAAAACGAGAGAGAGAGAGAGAGAGAGAGAGAGAGAGAGAAGAATTGATAATCCTAAATAGCTTTTTTGTTTTGTTAATCCATAGCGTGTTTTGCCTTTTGAAAAGGGTTCATTGAGCTGCAATGTTATGTCTTGTTAATGGAAAGTCTGTGACATTACCAAATACTGTATCGTATTTCGTCATTCACTGTATTGTGGTATTGGTATGTTGGATTTTGTAGTCACATGTTTCCCTATAATTGTTGAGCTCATGGCCATGCTAAATATTTATAATATTGATAATAATAATAAGAGTGATAAGAAAAAGAAGAAGAAGCAGGCGAAGTAGAAGAAGAATTATAATAACAACAATGATAATAGACGTTTGGATGCTGTCTTCCTTCTAGAACTTCTTCTCCAAAGCGAACAGGGAAAGAATATAGGATTTCCCGGCCAAATTCGCGAGTTTGTCATTCAAATTAATTTGTCTTGCGTTCAAATTCGACGGTTTTAGGGCAGTCAGATATATCTTGGGTTTATATTCCCTTTTCTAGTTCGTTAGAATCTACGTATGTTTCATTCAAATTAATCTACAATGTGCTTCTTTCGCTATTTGGTCATTCGATTTGGCGCAACACGATTTTCTGACAACGCGACGGTGTACTTTTAGCATTCTAATTCATTTGTAGCATTCAAATTAGCACTTTGTGCACTTAAAGATGAAGTTGAGTTCTGGTCATTGGATTGCATTGTGAAAGAAACGGTGTGGAACCGACCAGAAAAGGCTGATCATCTAGCATATAAGAATTTGTGTGTATTGCAAGGTTCTGGAGTAATCAAAATGATAAGAAATTTGGCCTAGTCTTGGTAAAGTTACACACTTGCACAGAAAGATGTATATGGGACTACACGAACACGTGGCGTAAAAAGCCGGCCCCCCGATTTTTACGATGTTACATGCATATTTAGAATATGAAGGCATTTGAAGAGCTATGCTTTTCAGGGAACATGTCTTAACTGATGTTCTTCAACACTTGCATAATAAGAATGAGTAATGCTCACAAATTATTTTTCACCTCTTCCCAGAACTCAACCTTCTCTTTAAATTGATGGTCAATATACATTTCTCGTTTATTACACACTTTTTATAGCTCATTCTTTTTCTTTCAAGATTGTTTCTTCATGTGTATTTCATCACATTTCATTTTCTTGCATTTATACACTTTTACTTATTAGATTTATCTGATATTCATCAGCACTTAAGTTCGATTGTTAAGAAGAAAAAAACGACTTGCATCTAAATGTTTATGTAAGGAAGTTGTTTTTCTTATGTTTCATCATAAATTTATCATAATTTCATCATAATTTCAATATGGAAGAAGGGTAAAATATTGTGACTGGGGTGGGGACTAGAGTCAACAATTTGAACATGATTCATTATTTAGCCATGTATTTAGCCATCGATCTGCTGGCAGGCAAGTAAACTATGAAACTATGAAACTAAGAAAAACAGATGGGTGTGCCGAGTATAAGAGACGATGTGAATTACTTTTGTAAAATTCTGAGTCTGTAGTAAAAAGGGGCGATTGAGAGTACCCCCACCTTTCCCGGATATATGAACATTTCCGTGCAGAAATGCCATATCCCTTGATTTCGCCCCTTCTTTACTTTATGTCTGACTACACCAATCTGCATTGACCTGAAAATAAATAAATGGAATGACAGCTTAGACCCCAATGGCAAATCATGCATTTTAACTGCATTATTTAAAAACTGTAAAAGTTTGTTGCAATTCTTCCCCCTAACATTCCTAACTTAAATAAAAAATATTACGAATACGAATGACAGGTGTTAATTTGAATGATAAAAATTACGCTTCGACAAGGGAATTTTAATTTGAATGCTAGTTGAGCAGTTTCTGAATTGAATGACAGATCTATGAAACCCTTCGACCAAAATCCTAAATTAAATACAAAAACTGGAAAATTGAATGATAATTGGCATGGCAAAGCCGATCTGCGCTAACTAATGCAAAGTAAATGAATTCGAATGACAAACACGCGAATTTGGCCTGGAAATCCTATATTTAAGGCAATTAAAGAGTCCGATTGAGTGCCGTATTCTAATGTATAGCATTGCTAAAAATATCTCTTTTCAACCTGTAGTTTAAATTGTTCAACGAATTTATAGTTCTCAACCCATAGGTAATTTGTTCAAAAGAAAGTTTGCTGCTTCTTTTCTATCTCTCAGCAGACACGTCTATCGATCTGATCTTATGTCAGAATGATTCGGGTAATATAGATTGTTCTCCTGGTACAATCAGTATCATTGACTCCCAGTATGGCCGCAGTGCCACGGGTAGTGTGGCCTGCGATCATCGGAGTATCCTTACCACTAACTGTGTAAGTGACGAAGTCACCTATGCCCGAAGCCAGTGTCAGGATCAACAGACGTGTGCACTCCAGTGCAGCTTTAGCTATGATCCATGCCCGAACACCTACAAATATCTCAATGTTACATATTCATGTGAGTATGAGTTTTTTAGCTTTTATGTTTAGCTTTTATGTTTAGCTTTTATGTTTAGCTTTTATGTTTAGCTTTTATGTTTAGCTTTTATGTTTAGCTTTTACGTTTAGCTTTTATGTTTAGTTTTTATTCCTTCTTATTATTTTTTCGTATTCCTCTTCTTCTTCTTACTCTTTCTGTTATTAGTATGGCTTCTTCTTTTTTCATTCCTTACTTCTCCGTCTTTTTCTTCATTAAATAAAAGAAACATATATTCGCTACTTTTTTCTTCTTCGTTCTGCATTTGTTTGTTTGTTGTCTTCATTTGAGCATTTTATCTTAAAACAGCGGAGGAAACCTTCAAAAGGAGGGTTAAAGTTTTCTACAAGGAGGGGAAGCGGTGGAAGTTTATTCTAAGCAACAACACAAATTCAGATTGAAATATAAACAATTGATATCATAAGCCATGTTTATTAAACACATGAATTTTCATTTTTCAATCCATTATGCACAATACTTTAAGAACTGACACTCCTGGCGCCATTGTAAGACACAAAACTTCGGTAGAATTGTAAAAATACATTTAGGAAAAAAAATTAAAGAAAAATATAATGTAGATATACAGCATAATCCATAATTTGTGCATGATAACTTTCCATTGATTTTTAAAACACATTTGGAAATTCCCATCAGTTCATAATTATGAATGACCTGATGGTACCGGGAATTTAGAATAGTGCATGCTAACTCCCCCACACCCACCACACGCTCCACCCGGTGGCTAATTTTTTTCCCCAAACAGGTTTGCCAATGCTAATATTTCCGGTCATCTGATTGGCTGATATGTTATGTCATTAGCAATGACGTAACCCTTAGGGTTAGTGATAGGGTTATCGAAATCATGCAGAATCACTTTTCATTAACCCATCGTTGGCTCAATCGGTAAGGCCAGCGTAATACAAGCTTAGAGTTGTGGATTCAAGTCTCAGTTTATTCATTTTTTTTTCCATTTTAAATAGTGAGGCAAAGCAATAAAAAATTAAAGTCTAATTGTTTGTGACCTCTTTCCAAGCTGCTAATGATGTAGAACATATCAGCCATTGAGAAGAACGGAAATATAAGAAATTGCAAACCTGTTTGGGAATAAAAATTTCGCCACCCGGCTACGAGGCAGTGTAATCCCTCAAACAAAGTCCGCCATGAAAATTCCGCCATCAATGCAACCTCCTGATTAATTACATTGTTGTAACGTCAATAGTCCGTCGCCAAGGTGATGAATTGTTAGTCATAAATGCCTGGTCACGTGTACGCTTCCAACCAATCATTTGATTAGGATCCACGTCATCATGTTTTAATAGTCATTATTGCATGTACTCGAAGGTGAAGTGATCAAACGGCATCAATACACTGTTTTAGATCAAGGAAAAAAAAACACATCTTGATATAGGTTTGACAGGATGTTTTCACTAAACCAATAAGACATGACCCTACAACAGTTGATACGTGAAGGCAAACTCATCGAATTATCTTTTTTCTCTTCATAAATATTAAAATGTTTGAACTACCCCTTTTCCTCTCATACTTACTTACTTTAGTTTACTTTAATACACGGTGTTGTAGGTCTAAGCCTGTTCATCGATCCAGGATTCTCCCATGGTTGCTGGAGGGAGGAGGTTGTGTAATAACATGAGACAATCTCAGTGATAACGTAAAGTAAACAGTTATGTATGTTGTTACTAAAGACAAAGAAATTAGTCAGACACTCACTCAATAGTGTCTGACAGTGAAGTCTAGAAAGTTAACGGATTTCCTTTCATAATTTGAACAATAGGACACTGCTAACGTTTACATTTCATAAATAGGACATACGTGACTTATTCAAAATTCCTGCAAAGTTCTACTGAATTTGATGTTGGCTGCAAACGGGACATAGTACCTTTAAGTGACCATATACCATATATCCACACAATACGTCACATACCTAAAACAGAACTATATATTTCTTGCATGTTCTCTCAAAGGTGGACCATCAGACCCCACAACGCCAGTCATCACAACGGTGAGTAAAGTTCAGTATTTCCTAGTCATGTTTCAAATGTCGATCGCAGTGTTCTGTCATTTTATTTGTTCTTATTCTCTTCTTATTGTCACTATAGTAGTAGCTAAAGAAGCAGCAATAATATGAGCAGTATTAGTAGTTAGTAACAGTAGTAGAAGTAGAAAATAAGCAGTATTATTAGTATTATTAAAGGTAGTAGAAGTAGAAGTAGAAGTGGTAATAGTTGTAGCAGTAGTAGTAGTCGTAGTAGTAGTAGTAGTAGTAGTAGTAGTAGTAGTAGTAGTAGTAGAAGTAGTAGTAGTAAATAGTAGTAGTAGTAGAAGTAGTAGTAGTAAATAGTAGTAGTAGTAATATAAGCAATAGTAGTAGAAGTAATATTAGTAGTAGAATAAATAGTAGCAGAAATAGTTGTAGTTAGAAGTAGTCTAGGTGTTCTCTTTTGTCTTCTAATCTTTATCGTATTATTAGGTGGTCTGTCAACGACAGATCACCTATTGATTTCGCTAGAATTTTCTTTATTCTTTCTTTCTTTCTTTCTTTCTTTTTATTTCTTCCGTACACTTTTTTGTGCACACGTTTACTCGAAATCGACATGGTCAATTTCCTTTGAATTTCTGTCAGTCATCAAGCCCTATGATTTCAAGTCTAATTAACTTTTTCAATTATTTTTATTGTTATTATTCTAATTATTAATATTGCTATAATTTGTACTATTATAACTATTATTATTATTATTATTATTATTATTATTGTCATTATTATCATCATCATTACAAACTTTATCTTCCTCGCCATTATCATCATTGTCATTACAAACTGTTTTAGTTACAAATTTAGATAAATGTCATACTCGAAAAGTTTATTCATGCAATTATTTTGTTAAAAGTTTAGTGTAAATTTAATTTGGAAGAAAATTGTCAAATCATCATCATCTTGTGATTGAAACGTGACTAGGTGTGCATCTCAGTCACTGCAATTCAAGTCTAACTCATGAAAATGCAATATGCTTATCCCCCACGATCTCCCGGCGGCACTGCGTAATAATTATATTAATCTTGCCTCTAAAAGAACCCCCCCTGAATAATTCATTTTTAAATCGGTAGAATTTGGCAGCATAACAGCACTTTTTATTCTGTGCCATTTTAAACACAACTTCGATAATTTGTTCGTGTCCCCTGTGTGCGTTTGTATTTCTTGTTAAAGTTATCTTTATGCAAGGGGGCTCTATCTGACATGTCTATTTTGACCAAAACTCTCTATTAATGTTATGCAACTCAGTTTTAGGAGCATCCATCATACAATACTTGCTTCTTTAGCATGCCCCCTTCGATTAATTCTCATATTTGTGGGTAAAAGGTTTTCCATTATTATTCTCATTTCCCTGGTTACTAATATAAACGGAAATAAATAATTCTGCATGTTTACAAATTTGAGGTAAAGCGTTCGTTATGAATAAAACCACATTCATACACCACCTCCCCCTTCCCATCCCTCACTCTCTCTCTCTCTCTCTCTCTCTCTTTCTCTCTCTCGCTCCCTCTCTCTCTCTCTCTTTCTTTCTTTCTCCCTCTCTATCTCTCTCTCTCCGTCCCTTCCTATCGGCTTTCTCTCCCTCTCTCTCTTCACTCCGTCTCTCTCTCTCTCTCTCTCTCTCTCCCTCTCCTCCACTTGACGTTGACAAGTATACAGTGAACCCAAGTATTGCATATTATGCCAATCAAAATATGTTCCTGTGTTGTTCTATAATAGGAGGCTACTACTCCCACTGCTGCTGCTACTGCTGCTGCCGCTACATGGGTTGTGGTTGACAGCAAGATTAGTAAGTATAAAGCTAGATCTACTGGAGTTGTCTCTGATAATCACTCAGAACCTCTTAAAACCCCACTGTCCTACGTGTAGCTACTTGCTCCCTCTATATAGAAAACTTCCCAAATCGGTGCCTGTTGGTCCCCATGATTCCTTTTTCTTATGTTAGTTGAGAGCTGAGTTAATGAGATAGCCACCTGTCAGTGACCTCGCTGTGTGGTATAATCCCTTCTGGCCCAGTAGTATTGACGGTCTTTAAGTGTCGTTCACATGCGACGCTGCAATCCCGCGTCGGTATATAATATCTCTGTTTGATTATTGGTGACGGAAGGAACTTTTTAATTTTATTATGTTGCTCCTTTTCCATTCATATCACACTTTTGATATCATTATATCTGTTTTTGTACATGTAATTCGTTTTATGTTAGTCCTCATTTTTTTTTAGATAAATGTCATCTTTAACCCTAAAAAGGCCGGGCTATATGAGTTCTTAGTACGGCCGGGGGGGGCATTATGCCCCCCCCCCCCCATAAGATCTTGGTCGTGAAGCGGCCGATCTCCGCGAAAATTTGCACACATGTCAAGTGAAGTGTATAGAATACCATGATAATTTCCATTTTTTGAAAAATCCATTTGCATGATTATGGTAATGTAGGCTAATAAAGTCATAAAAATCACATTGTTACCCATAAATCATATATTATTCATATTTAAAGGGATAGTTGAGTTTTGTTTTCAGACCGCAAATGCCTTCAAAGTGCATGGTTATTGCTTTTATTCTTATCTATAACATTTCTAGTGCCCTTTTAGAACCTAAAATTACTATGAAGGTAAGTTTAGACCCCCAAATGTGTGAAATTTAGCCAATACGAGCATACCAATTCAGCTCCACTTTCGACCGTTAATTAATTATTCAATTAAATTAAAAATAACAAAACATGGGCCGGCTGGTTGTGCGTAATATAAGCAACACGAAAATGTCAACAAAAAAAACCAATATCGGCCTTGGCTGAAATACGACGTAAAAGACGTTATCTCGTTTTTTTTTAACGGTTTTTTCAAATTTTTCAAATTATCTAATATTTGTGGTGGTACACAAGTATTAGAAATCGTTATATTTCAGCCGTCTCTGAACCGATTTTGATCAAACAAAGATGATTTTGTCATTTAAATATTATGTTCTCTCAAATTTGACACTCAGTTTTTCATTATCTCACAAAAATTATTTTGTGTAGCGCCCCCTGCAACAGAACTCAACTATCCCTTTAAGCATTCTTTTTCATATGATATAAATGCATTAGACCATTCGGAATAATATAGGATTTCTTGGCGAAATTCGCGAGTTTGTCATTCGAATACATTTACTTTGTATTTAAGTTAGCGCAGATCAGCTTTGCCATGCCAATTATCATTCAATTTTCCCGATTTTGTATTTAATTTAGAATTTTGGTCGAAGGATTTCATAGATCTGTCATTCAATTTAGAAACTGCTCAACTAGCATTATAATTAATCGTCACTTGTCGAGGCGTCATTTTTATCATTCAAATTATTACCTATCATTCGTATTCGGATTATGTTTATTCAAAATAGGAATATTAGGGGGAAGAAATGCAACACACGTTTACAGCTTTAAAAAAAAATGCAATTAAATACATGATTTACCATTAGGGTCTTTTCTGTTATTCAGTTTATTAATTTTAAAGGACAAAGTATATGTGTGTAGTCTGACATTAGGTAAAGAAGGGGCGAAATCAAGGGATATGGCATTTCTGAACGGACATGTTCATATACCCCGGAAAAGTGGGGATACAAAAACACCTACCCCAGTCATAATATTATACTATTCCTCCATCATGAAATTGTGATAAATTTATGATGTAACACAAGACAAACAACTTCCTTACATGAAAATTTGCACAAATATTGAGACCATCAAGTCCGTAGATGTAAGTCTTTTTTTTAACAATCAAACTTAAAGGCTGATGAATATCTGAAATATCTAAAATATATAAAGAGTATAAATGCAAGAAAATAAAATAGGGTGAAATACACATGAAAAAACGATATAGAAAAAAAAACAATGAGCTATAAAAAGTGTGTAATAAACGAGAAATGTATATTGACCATTAATTATAGTGCATAAAGTGCTAATTTGAATGCTACATATGAATTAGAATGCTAGAAGTACACCGTCGCGTTGTCAGAAAATCGTGTTGCGCTAAATCGAATAACCAAATAGCGAAAGAAGCACTTTGTTCATTAATTTGAATGAAACATACGTAGATTCTAACTAAAACTTCATATATTTGAAATTTAGAAAAAGGAATATAAACCCGAAATATACCCGACAGCACTAAAACCGTCGAATTTGAACGCAAGACAAATTAATTTTAATGACAAACTCGCGAATTTGGTCGGAAAATCCTATAATACAACACAAAAAATTGGAAGAGCCAGCTTATTCCTTATGTTATCTTTTGTTTTGATAATTTCTTAAGTATTTCATTGTTTTTTTAACTTATGTATTTTATTGTTTTTGTTGTTTTATTTCATTTCCTACTACAATTCAACTATTTTGATTCCCAAAACAACCACCTAAACTTTAAACAAGACCCAATAACCCATGTTTGACATATTATTTTTGTACACAAATCACGAAAATGAGCGATTTTCGGGGTGACATGCAAAGACAATAGGTCACGTGACCTTGTAACCGTAGGGCCAATTTAAAAAAAAAATGTTTTAAAAGTTGCGCAAGACTCGAAATAAAAAAAGTCTGCGAGCGGCGGGGCGCCACCCATATGCGTTCCCGAACAATAGGGTTAAGTAGATTTTCTATTGTATTTATATTCAATTTGGTGTGTATATGATCTGCCGATGATCTGCTTTTTGTTTGTAACATCTGTGCTCATAAGATTGAGCTGAGTGAGTAAGCGCAAGACCATCGTCGGAAGCTGTTGTCATTCATTTACACGTACAAATACTGCGGCGGTTTTTATTCAATTTTTCCTTTTTGCGACGGTTTACCACGTCAAATCGGAACGGGTCTTTTACTAGTTATCTACTATTCATCAGTTTGAATTTGAATATGAAACAAAATTAATTCATGCATTATGATAATATAAAGTTGAACTTGTTAATAGCCATCTTTATTTCAGCTAAGTCTACCCTCAATGTTTTCTTTTTTCTTTGTATTAATCAATTATTTCAAAAATAAAATGATTAGCAGAATACTTTCTTCGTACATTATTTGCTTAAGAACATTGTTTATAAAAGAATTTACTTTGTATTTCTTTATGCGTTCTGCTCTAATAGCGGTGACAAGAAAATAGCCAAGTATACGCCAAAACTTGAATGCGTATAACTGCTTTTTTTTAATTTTATTATTACTCCTGGTTACTGGATTTCAATCCTATACGCATGTATGTGCACCATCTCCACTTCAAAAAAACCTAGTTCAGATATGACGCGACACATCCGTAGGGATTAACTTTTTATGATGACGTAAAGCGTAATAAGCGTCGCATTTCTGTATTTAAAAACATAGAGCTCAGTGAAAGTGCGCCAGACTGTTGTTGTGCATATTTGCAATCATCTCATTTTTTTTTTTAATTAAAAAGTATTTTTTTAAAGAATGAAAGAAATTGCGGCGGCTCATTTGTGAACGACCCTATAGGGAACATACTACAACGTTCACATGCATTATAACTAACCATTACTAATACTAATAGGCGCTATTTCTGAGAAATGTAGACATTGAAGGAATTGAAAATGTTGTTTTTTTGTGCTGTACTTGCGCGACGTACGCTACTGTTAGTTTCTTTTACATATAATATATGTAGATTCTATGCCTCTGATTGGTCAAACCTACATGCACGAATTTCACTAATGACTGCTGGGCAGTCTAGCGCAAAGAATATTGACCGGATATTGCTCTGATTGCGCGTACGATGCAGGACTCAATTGTTGCGCCTAAAGCTTACAATAACAATGGATGTACGCGCAGTGCAGTGGGACGCGCCTGTTGGATAAATTTCCTTAGATGATACAAATGTATATAATCGTGTTCCTGGCCCATTCAACCTCTCAATACATGTATTTGCATATTTTCTCATTGCAGAAGAAAAATGCAAAAATAACCATCGTTCTGTCGTAGGTGATCTGAAATGCGGGGGTGGTACAGAGATCGTCGTAACAAGGGGATTTTGCTTGAGCTTTGATCAATGTAAGGATTTTTCTGATTCTGCCTTTTCGTCATGCTCCAGCGATAATAAAACAGACCAATACAATACGTATTGTTCGAGTCTAAGTCAACGTAATAGATGCGACATAACGTGCACCGGTTCGTGTCCAGAAAGTGGGGACGCTTATTTGTACGCCGAGTATGATTGTAAGTCATTTATCTCTTATTCACAAATAAAATAATAATAATAATTACATTAATAGGGCGCTTTATACAGGTGTTTCTAAGCGCACAGGTGATGCTGTCTAAAGCCCCCATCACACCGAACTAGTTCTCACTACGCTCTGGAACCGTCCTAGAAAATCGTAAAACAGGTTGTGGGCGGGGTAGAGTGGACACGCCGCCGGACTGTCGATCACAAGTCCCGCCACGGCACTAATGTCCTTTGGCAAGACATTGATGTACATTTGCCACACTCAACCCAGGTGATGTCAATGGGCACCTGGCAGGAATTAATTCCTTGAAATACCGGAGCGCTGTAATGGCTGCTAGGCTAAAGCCGGGGTAATAATAAATGCTTCTCGGAATATAATTTCTAGATAGACGGCGCTATAGAAATGCCGATTATTATTATTATTATTGTTATTATTATTATTATTATTATTATTATTATAAATCATTCCTATAATTCGATCCTAGTTCGTTAATAAACAGTTCTCAATGCGTCCATCTCGTCTATATCTCATCCACAGTCAGTTCAAACCCATTCTTACTAGTTTGGAGACAGTTCAGCTCGTCTTTATCTCGTTCTTAGTGCGTTTGAACTCGCTCCAAGAGCGTGTGCAACCACGTCCTGGCCCAAGGGTTATACAACCCCAGCGCGTTCTTGTCATTCCTTATTCCCGTTCAACTTCAACACTTAAAGCTCTGAAGAGCAAGACATTCACAGGAGTGAAGCCTCCATCACACTAAACTAGTTCTCACTACGTTTTATAAACTGTTGCCAAACGGGCTCAAACTGAGTTGGAACGGATTCAACGGAGTGAACGTAGTAACAACTGTTTACGATCTGTTTCAGAACTTCATGGACGGGCTCGGACTGGCTTGGACGGGAAGGGTGCACTAGAACTTTGAGCCTCCTCAAAAAAGATTCCCCGTCCTGCAATTGGACGGAGTGACAACGTACTTCAAACGAGATGGACGTACTACGAACGGAATTGTCGTACTTTGATCCTACTAGGAACGTGTTACAACGTGAAGTGGTCGAGCATCAATTAGCAGTAGTATAATTGAACGGAAATAAAGAATGGCAAGAACACGCCGGGTTTTTATAGCCCTCGAGCCTATAAGGGCTCGTTCGAACGCACTAACAACGATATGAGGACGAGTAGAACTGTCCCTGAATGGCATGCTTGGGTTATAAACTAGTGAGAGCAAGTTGCGAACTAGTTAGAATGATCTGGACGTATACAGGGAACGAGGTAGAACTAGTTAAGAACTGGTAAAAAAAACTGATAAAGGACGGGCTTGGACTAATTTGCAGACACAAACCCTAGTCAGTCGTAGAAGAGAGTCTGCACTATAATAATACCATAGGCCATATAATATAGCTGCTCCTGACACAGGTAGCTGGGCAAGGCTTCTCT